TTGCCCTGTAGGCCGACTACAGACTCTCCATGACTGTCACAATGTTGTTTTTCACAAGTTGAATATTTCTTGCTCTTTGTCTGCTGGTTTCCGCCTGTGGCTATCTGCATATTTGGCACATCGCAGACACTGTGCTCCACACTGAGCCCTGTAATCTCTCCAAATTATAAGGCAGAAGTGGAGAACCGTAAAGGCTAAATGGTTTTAAATTGTTGGGTTTCGATAATGGTGACGAAGATGAAGATAACCCCGTGATATGACATTTCAGTTGTGTCTGTGTTATGAGGAAGTTGGTATGGAATGTGTAGCATAAAAATAGCATCAGCACAGCCCTACCTAATGACTTATGATGGTCTGTGAAGTCAGCTTGTCTTGGGTGTTTATAGGGAGTGAGATTCAGCTGTGCTTATAAGAAACATATGGCAGGCAAATGGAATTGAATGCTCAAACCGGTTGCTTTCACTTTTAAGCGCTTGTTAAGGGTCTGCAGTAACTGCTCAGTGATTGAACTTAACCTGAGTGAGCCGTGGTTTGACTTTGCCAGGTTATTTTGAATGCTTGAATGTTGGTCTGAATTGTGTGCTTAGTCCCAGCTGGTAGATGTGCAAGTTTGCTCTGCGCTAATGACTGACAATTTGGTGAAACTCCTCCAGAGAATGTGGAATGTGCTCATTGTTTAACCAGGCAAAAGCATTTAATTAGAATATGACTTGAGGGGATTGCTTGGCAGTCTAATAAAGTTTTAAGTTGCAGATACCAGCCCAGGAGTGAGACTAAGTATGGCTACATTAGGCTGAAATGCCAAAAGCTGAAGATCCTGAGTTGCTGGTTTATCACACCTGCCGTTAGTATATGTAAAAGTGCATTAATCAGTGTAGCCTTTTATACCGGCCATACACTACACCATATGTCAGCGGGCTTACGCACAATCTATTTTTGCAGTTTTCCTGTGTGGGCTGCCACAAAAAGCAAACACACTACACTCAGGCAAAACCTTTTTGGACACATACCACTTTGCTTACTGCACCATGCCATGTTCGCACTGATCATTAGGTCTATTTTGTGATGGTTTCCAGTAGGGCTGGGGCAAAAAACAATTTTGAAAAACAGGAAAATCAGGACAAAATTATTTTTATTATTATTTTGTTTTTTTCTTTATTATTATCAAAAACCAAGGTATTTTACAGTTAGATATATATCTAGGACAGTTAAATTTTGCACCAGGCAGGATGGAAAAGCCTTGAGTCTGAGGAGCTCATCGTTGCTTGTAGTTTGAAGCTTCAAGCTAAGCAGAGCCATGAATTCCTACACACACACACACACACACACACACACACACACACACACACACACACACAGCACAGCTGCAGAGCTTCAGTCCACTCCACTACTAGCACTCTGCATCTTCTTTTTTTTTTTGCCCATGTGCCAGCAGTGTGACTCACTGCTGTGTATGTAAATGAAGTAAAACCAGGACTGGAGTTAAAGGATTGACACGCGAAGTGCTCATGCATACAAAATGACAAATACAGACTTTTGTTATTGATAAATTGATAAATGGTCCCAGCCTAGTTTCCGTAAAATATAGCATATTAGTGCACAGTTTTTTGGGTTTTTTTTTGCTGAATTTAACATGTTGTAAAAGAATCAACATGAAATATAATCATGTTAAATTCAGCAATAAACAGTAATTGTGAGTTTAAAAATGAGCAAAAGTGTGTTCTGTGTAGAGGATGTGTTAACTCATTTTCACTTAGAAACTCAACAGAATGTAATTTGATCACAGGCACCCACACTTTTACACAAAACAGCATAAAAGAAAATAACAAGAGATTAATACTGTATGCACTATGACTGTTGACACCCCTTCTAATTATTGAGTTCAGGTGTTTCAGCCACACCCACTGCTAAGAGATGTATAAGATCAAGCACATGTAATCTTCATAGGAAAACACTGGCAGTAGAATGGGTCATACTGAAGAGCTCAGTGACTTTAAATGTGACGGTGTCATAAGATGCCACCTTTGTGACAAGTCAGTTTGTGAAATTTCTGCCCTGTTAAATCTGCCCTTGTCATCTGCAAGTTATTGTGAAATAGAAGCAGCAATAGCTCAGCCACGAAGCAGTAGACCCTGCAGACTTGCAGAGCATGGATGCTGATTGTTGAAGTATGTCAGGCCTTCTCGTCCAACATCAGTACCTGACCTTGCAAAGGCACAGTTGACTGAATAGGGAAAAAGTCATATTATAACATTTAATACCTGTAATTTTGGAGTTATATATCCAGCAAGCTCAAGGTGTGATGGTCAAGTGTCCACATAGTTTTGGCTGTAGTGTCTACCTGATAAAATGGCCAATGTATGTACAAGGTAGGTGTACCTAATAAACTGCAAATGTAGTGTGCAGAAAATGTTTGTGGTTGGTTATGGAATCTGTGTCTTTGTTCATTCTCTGAAGTGTTTTGTGTTCTCAGAAGGCCTTTCTTTACAGCCTGAAGAGGAGGAATAGTTTCTAGAGGCGCCTCTCTTTCTTTGCCCAAGAGCTCTAGAGTAGGTCTTTATTGGGTGTATTCACTTGAGTGCTCAGCTTCTCTTAAGGATGTGACCTGAAATGTGATGAACTCTTTGTCTAACCTAATGAAGGATTCTGCATGGCCTCTTGGCAGATCCTGGAAGCTCCTGCTCATGATTAAGGCTGTGAAAGTGAGAACACACAAAAAACTCAAACTGCTAAATTACAGGGTTGCTCCAGTTCGTCGGCCTCCTGTCTGCAAGGGGCGTGCGTGGGGTATTCCCTATTTTTAATGAAAGATAACTGCAGCAAAAAAGGGGAAATTATCCATGTGAAATCTCCTCACTCCTAACACTTGACCTTCTGATTCTGTAAAGAGAAGGAGAAACTTCTGTGGTACCTTGTTTCACATGTTTAGTTTGTGGAGCTGAACAGGAGAGATGTAAACACTAAGCACGGTAAACACTAAATTTTTACAATTTACTGTGTTTCCATAATAATCCTTAATAGGGGCCAGCCAGTATTGATTGACCTGGTGTTCCTAAAATGCAAAATTCCCAGTAGTTCCCAAAAGTGCCAATAGTTTGTATCTTATAACAAATCTCTGATGTGGTAAAAACACTCACTTCTAAGAATTTTATGGCTTCTTGCTTACATGCCAGTGAAAAAAAGAAGTCCATACTTTTATTTCAGTAATACTGTCTGGATAATTTGAACATACAACACTAGAAGTGGGAAAAGTAAATCTATACAGTATTATTATGTATTCATTAAACATTTTGCATTCATAATATAATATAAGCCCTGTCACAGTTGCTGCTGGGTGCGTGTTTATCTGTTGCGTTGAGGCAAATGCATGTAAAGTTTCAGCACAAAATGTTCTAAATTCTGACACCTTTGGAGGGCAGCAGTCAGAAATGTTTGTTTATCTGAGCTTGAGCTGTTTCTGTCATCAGTGTGGCATTACAGCTTCCACGGCTAGTTAATTAGGATAGCTATTCTGCCAATTTGGCCACTTTAGACTTGAACTTTTAAAACAGTTTAGTTGTTTTTAAAATAAAGACCTTGTTAATCGCAGTTATTTATACAGAAATACATCAGCTAAAGACTAAAATTTCTTAATTTATTATTTAAAGCCGTGCTATTTGGGGACCTATCTGGTTTCCTATCATTTTGTAGCATCGGTTGAGCTTTGGACCCCTTCCCCAAGCAGATGAATCTGATGTTTGTGAGGGCAAACAAAGAGAACTCAGTTAAAACTTGGTGAAGGACGTGTCTTCCGAGGATGTAAGTGAATTATCTACTGTTGTCATCTTCTCTTCATTAGCAAAGTGGTGATTTTGCATTTAGGACCTAAACATTGAGTCAGACCTTCTTTTTGAGCCTGTGTTTGTGTTGTTAATACACAAAGACATTTTGTGTGGTCCGTAAAATGCTAGCAAAATAGTGCAGCTTTAATTGTTATGCTTTGGTTACCTGTTAGTCTGACAATGAGCTTAATACGTTACAAAGTGTATTTCTTTCCACAAGATGCCACAGCTTCTTTCTGGTCAGACAAAGGTTTCTGTGAGTGGAATTATTGTTTGGAATGATTGGACAGTGCAGTGGATAACATGCTTGTTCCACACATTGGAGAATGGGGATCAAAACCCTGTTCAAGCAGGAATCAAAAAACATGTGTGTGTTATTGTTTAGGGTTAGGGGGTTTACTTTAGAAATGTATTCTGGTACAGATTACTGATTACCTGTTCAAAGAAGTATTTCATAACCAAACAATGTATTTTAAAGTAACTTGATCTCATTACTTTCTCTTACTTTTGGATTTCTTGTCTTTTTTAAAGTCATGTATGTAAAGACATACAAGAGAAATATCATTTCAGCAAGAGATTTTGATCAAGAATATAACTTAACACAAGGCAAACAAGAAAACTACACTGTTTTATGAAACAAAATAGATTATTAGTGACTAAATTGTCTACGCATTATGTGTATGTCCATGAGTTATCGGGCATTCAAATGTAGCGCTGCAGAGAAAGTGGAGACAATGAGCTGTTATTGTGCCTCACAATTGTGGCTCAAATGGTCACTGATCCCACAAATATCAAATCTGCCAAATCTGAGGGAAGATATGTATGGAAAAATTGCAAACATTGGGCGGCACGGTGGCGCAGTGGGTAGCCTCACAGCAAAAATGGCCTGGGTTCGATTCCCGGCCGGGCGACCAGGGTCATTTCTGTGTGAAGTTTGCATGTTCTCCCCGTGTCTGCGTGGGTTTCCTCCCGGTACTCCGGTTTCCTCCCACAGTCCAAAGACATGCAGTCAGGCTAGTTGGACATGCTAAATTGCCCCTAGGTGTGAGTGTGTGTGTGACTGTGTATGTCTGTCTGTCTGCCCTGCGATGGACTGGCAACCTGTCCAGGGTGTATCCTGCCTTCCGCCCAATGACAGCTAGGATAGGCTCCAGCACCCCACCGCAACCCAGAAGGATAAGCGGTTTAGATGATGTATGTATGTATGTATGTATGTATGTATGTATGCAAACATGAATATGACAAATTTGTACAGTAAGGTAAGTTCCAGATAGTTCCTTAGCTTTCAGCTGTTTTGGCACTCTACAGAAATCGTATTCTAAGAGTTTAAAATCATTAATTTCACACAAAAACTAAACGAAGCCATACAGCCTGTTTATACCTTTGCATTAACTTGTATATAATATCTGGCTCATATCTGGATAAACTTTGGCCAGAATGCATCCCTAGTTTAACAAGATGAAATCTGATTGTACTTTCCCCACATAACTGTAATTTGATAATTCACAGTTGACAGCTGACAATCATATCACTCAAAACACAGGACGCAATTAAAATCTGAAATCTAAAAATAAAATGGACCTAACCCCCCCTTAAAACCTGTACCAGTCAGAATTTCCAAATCATTAGAGTCCTACTTCTTAACACCTTGTCAGCATTCGTATAACTAGTACCATCAAAGACTGAGAAGACTGACCTGGACCAAAGTGCTGACTTTGGATCTTCTCTGTTTCTTTTATTTTATATAGCAAAGTTCAGGGTAGATTTGGCAACAGTCACTTCCAGGCCAGCACTGAGGAGGAAGGCCTGGCATATGATGTCATGGAGAACATTGTGTCAACTTCTCCCATACAGAGCCATCCCTTATGCGTTTGTGCTGCCTCTGTCTGCTCTACAAGGAAGAGATTTGCATGAGGCCAAAGCCCAAACCTCATATTTCCCTGTAAACACATGTTAGCATTGGTTGGTAAAGAAACAAAACCAAAACACCTCTAACAAGATCTGTTCTGTGGAAGAACACTTGCACATTTGCCATTTTTCGTCAACCTGCAGCCGCCAAGAGAATGTGTTTCTGCTGGCACATCATATCGCAATGCTGGCTGAAATTCCCTGCAGTCTGCGCTAAGGTACAGAGGATTTTATGTCCATTTTTGTGTTAAGTTTTATGACCTGGTTTTTTAAATGTATTGACAGGATGAAATCATAGTGAGACGCTGATGATAAATGGCTGATTCAGGCTGTTTTTAAACGGTGTGCTAAAGGAGTGTCTTCATTGTAGGGGAGTGGCACTGTTTCCTCTGCCGACTCGCATTAGTTGGATTGAGTTGGAGAGCTTGTGTCTTGGAGTTTAGATGATTGGTGAGACTGGGAAACTTTCAGTGGAAAGGAAACCTCTTTTTTTACTTGCTGGGGATGTTTTTGCTGTCACATGCTTGCGGTTAGACAGATGGAATTTCTCACCTTCCATAATAGTCAACACCTGGGTTATACAGCCAGAGCTTTTCGGTTCACATCACTGTCCAGGTATGTTAATATTTTTGGTGTCTAGTTTTTCAGTGCTTAAGCAAATATACATATTTATTATGATCTTCAAATTAAGTTTAGTTAATGAGTTTTTTTCTTTAAATCTTTGTTTTATACTGTATTATGTGACACTGTTCCAGTGTCATAATATTTTGGTTTTGTATGCCTTTTGTTGTATACTTTTTCTACACTTTTGGTCTCTTGTTGAGGATCTTTTGCGCTCTTCCTTTGCGAGGGCTCCATAGTAACTGCTTTGACTATGGGACAAATGTGGGTGAGAGGCAAAAAACCAGCCCTCAGGTGAAATTTGCATCAGATGCTCTTACAGTAAAATTAAAGTGCATTCACAGCTACTTGGGACAACAAGCATCCAGGTCTAGACCATGTTATTTAACATTTCATGCACGCGACTGTTGTGGATTTTTCAAGGTTTCATGCCAGTGCTGATATTTACAGAGAGTTGTGGCTGATGAATGATATATTGCCAACACAAGATTATACATAAACAGCAATTCCACTGAATTAATTCATTAATTTAGTCGTAAAGTTGTAAACAGAGCTACTCAGAGTGATTTGATGTGAAATGGTGCATTGTAGAAAAACTTTGACTCTTATTTTTACAGTGGTGGTGATGGGAACCAGAGTTCACAATATCTGCAACACAAATATAGCCATTTTATTTACTATCCAAAACTGCCCATGAACCTACACTTTTCTCCTAGGTTTTTAAATGTAATCTTGATGATGGTAAAATGGTAGTAAATCTGAAAAAAGTTTTATTTGAGTTCTATCTTGCCTTAGAGCACACTGCATGTACTATCATAAAACAGTGTTTCTGGCATCAGCCAACGTATTTGTAACCATTTCATTTTGATGACTTTCTGTGGGATAGCTTTTAAAGGTATTACACTCTATCGTAATGCCTCAAGTTTTCTAGAACAGAGTATTTCACATCAAACCATTCTGAAAGCTTTACATATATTTCTGCGATTGAATTATCCAGACATTTTAATAAATTGGGGAAATACAGCCGTTTTGAGAAATGAGTAACGGTACATTATTAAACAAATTAACAAAGTAAGCTGCTACTTTGCTATAGCTTAATGTTGAGGTAATAAAATGTGCTTTCTGTCATTTTAAACTGATTCCCTTTCATTGCTATACAAACGCTTGACATGATCTACAAGCTACAAGACAAAACTAAAATGCCACTGTGCAAATAATACAAACTGCATTTTTGAGAAAAATTTGTAAAAGCCAGTGAAATAGAGGGTAGCTACACCTCTGTGCTGAGACAGTGTGAGGTCATGCAGGTCATGTAAGCTAGTGAGAGTGGATGATGTTATGTAACAGTAATCTCCAGCCATTTGTAAATAGTTATTGACAGTTTTGTTTAATTTTGTCCATGAAACTTAAGTTAGCCTACATCCAAGCAGTGCATAGTCAAGATCATGGTAGACTGTGACTGTAACTTTGGCGTCTGTGAAACAGGACAAAAACAGGGGACTAATACTGAAAGACTAGACATGCTCACAAATGATTATTAGTATAAACATGTATATATTATAAAAACATTTACATTGAGTAGCGCGTGTGTGTATGTGTGTATGTATGTATGTATGTATATATGTATGTATACATAATATATATAAAATCTGTAATCAGTGTAAACAGAGTTTTTAATGGCTGCATTGTGTTAAAATATTGTGATATTTTTGCCATATTGTCCACCTCTAGCTAGCAGCCACCAGTCCTGCTAGACACCGATTGAAAGGTCAGTTGATGCATTAGGCAGACTAAAAAGACATAGATCTTATATTTTAAAGCTGTTGTACATGAAGGGAGCTGGAATTGACAGAATATCTGTCCTCACTGACAACAACAATTTTTGCGTATCATCCTGACGTACTGTCCAGCCGATGTTTCAGTCGACCACTATTTGCAGCTCTCCTTTATGGTCAGTTAGATTCAGCCGTAGTGGAATCTGGAAAAAGGAACTTCTGTGTAGTATATTGTTCATGCTCATGTAGCATGCAGAGGAACGCGGGGCATGAAGGGGAAATAATTACTCCTGTTTTACATTTGTCACCTGGCAACCAGATAGGAAATGTCCAAGACTGTAGCTGTGTCCATGTCCTCCTTTTGTGGTCAGTGTAAGATCACCAAGGGCTGCAGTTGGCATTGTAACCTATACTTCAACATGTGCTGCTTTTTCTGCTGCCTACTGAGCCTCATCACTTCTGCATTAAGTGCTTGAGCCTGAGATAAAGGACACAACTTTATTTTTGCCATTTTGGTACTTACTCTGACTTATTTTTGTCTTGAAAAGGCCTCTGAAAGTGTCTGAAACCTTCAAGAAAATGAACCAAGCACAAATATTCAAGGCTAGGCTTGGCTGTTTGCATAATTGACAAAAGCAAAATACTGTGGCTACAAAATACTGTTTGTTAATCACAATATTGACCTTTGTAGTACTGACATTGTGGAAGGCTGCAATATGCAAATGAGCCCTTTTAATCACAGATGTAAATACTTTTGGTCAGAATAATGCGAGCCAGTCTTTAACCTGGTAACATTAAAATGTTTTTAATATGTCGCAAGGCATATCCCAATCACATTAATTGTATTTTTGTATTTCATGTGTGTTATGCAGCCCTAGCACAGGGGTAGACATTCTTCCGACATGCCCTTTAAATTCTCAGCTGCTGAAGGGCTGGTAAGAGGTAGACGAAGGCCATATTCAGCCTGTTATCATTGTCTTTTGCAGCTCTTAAAAGAATGCTTCACCTAGAAATGACGACCTTGCTGAAAATGAATGTTTCTTTAAAGGTCAACTTGATCAAGGGATCACAGGAAGAATTTTTGAGGAATCTCACGTAGGCCTGCGAAGTGTTCTAGATTAGTGTAATGAGTAGCAGTGTAATGATTGTAATGACACTTTTTCATGTTTGATGCAATAATTGTTTTTAGATCAAATGTTAAAGATGTTTTAATGCTGATGGTGGCATTAATTGGTTTAGCTGTGTCCCAGAAAGCCCTAAAAATCACAACTCTTAGAATTAAGTGACTCAAAACAGTCAGTTGAGCGTGAGCAAATTTTAATATGTATGTTTTTCTTTTACATTTTACGATTCTTTATCCGAAATCTTAGCATCTTTAGGAATTAGGGATGCACTGATATGAGAATTGTGGGCTGACATCCCATACCTTTTTATGAACATATCTGCTGATGCTGATACATAAACAATTATAAAATGTTGAATTGGCACCTGATAGGATTAGCATTACAAAGAAATATAAAATTTACTTATATCTGGTTGGGATATTGTTCAAAACTAAACATCTGTCCATTGCCAATAATTTTCTTTTTTAAGCAAATATCTGCTGATACCATTGTAATTCCAATTGCATTGTGCATTATTAGAAATGAGAGGTTAAACTGGTATAGTCTCTTTTAAAGGAAATTATATAGGGGAGGGATTCTTCCATGGTGTGAAATGTGTGGTTAGCCGAATGTCGGGGTGTTTATGCACGAGTTTCTCACAGCACAATTTAAATACTACACTCACCTTGACTTGAGTTAATCATTAGTTCGCTAGTTGGTTGGTTTTTCTCCACTTCAGTGCCTTATCTGCCACCAGGAAGAACTCACAGCCCATGTTGTTTAAAGGGTATTAGAGGAAGGCTTCTGATATAGGATCAGATTTTCATCTTCCGTATTGTAAGCACCAGAGTGGAAAAACAGCAGTTAGTGATTAAACAAAGAGACTTGGTACACAGGAATCGAGGGCCTGAATTTATCACATAATCATCAGGATAATTGTTTAATCTGTATTGTGATAAATAACCTTACTCGGACAGAGGTAAATCCTAAATCTGTACTTCAGCTTTTAGATGCTTCATAAATAGGGTTGGCATGGGTACAGGATTGAATGAAATGAATTCATTTGGTGCAGTTACCTGTTTTTAAAAAGTCATGGTGGAAATAAATGGCCTACCGCTACATCTCTCTGCAGAAGATGCACCAGGACATTACTGATGCAATATGCAATGTGTTTTTGACAGCTTGCTAGTTTCTTCTATGAGAGAGTAAAACTTCTTTCAGTACCTGTGGTGAAAAAACTTTGTTCATGCTTTTTAGACATTTTCAGTATATTTTAACATTGATACTGAAACATGGTATCATCTTAGGAAACTTTCACACCTACCAGGTGTGGTCCGAACCAAAATAGCAAGTGTTAAAGGTGCCTTGGACCACAGTCCAGTCCAAAAGGATCACAATTTGGTCTGTCCAAAAGAGGTGGTCTCAGTCCAGATCAAACTGAAACAAACAGTTTGTTTTCAGTGTAAAAACATTTTTTTTTTTTGGATTGTTCAGACTTTCAGACAAGCAGCACTTGACCAGTGGCCAGCATCAACTAGAAGTGTATAAAGCCCCCCAGCATTGGGCTGTGGAGTAGTGGACATGTTCTCTGGAGTGATAGAACTCTATCCAATACCTTTGGGATGAGTTGGAGCGGCGTTTGTGATCCAAACTAGTCATCTAAAATCAGTACCTGGCCTCACCGATGCTCTTGTGGCTGAAGCTGTTACTGCAGCAAAACAGAAACAATCTCCCTATTGTTACCCTTAATTTCAGAAGAAATCTTGGATTAGAAGGTGTCTACATATGTTTGGATACAGTGTACAATGGTGATACCTTTTATCATACGTTTATCATTTTCATAAATATGGGTATTAAAAAACTGCAGTTTTTCAACTGTAAAGAAGTTTTTTTTTGTTTGTTTGTTATAAATACAGTTTTCTCATGTAAATGTGTGATACAGTAGAGGTATTCCTCCATAAATGATGCCACATATTACAATAATAATTTTTCTAGACAGAAAGCACCTTTCTTTGCCCTCTGTAGAGACATTACGATACTGAATGTATGTCTGGAGGCTAAACTAACACGATCCTAATTGAGTCATTTCTTTGACATATATCTGCTTCCTGCTCAT